GAGGTGGAGAATGTAACGACCTGACTTGTCGTTTTAAGAATTTACGCCCCGTTCAGTGACTTAAGGTCTTGAGCAGCCTCGCAATATGTATTATGACCCGCGTGTGTGGTCGAGTTGGGTTTACGGATGATTCGGAGAGATTTGGGACACTTAGTCCCTGAGATGGAACCTTAAGTCTTAGGATTTTTACCGTAGTCAGAACTGTGTGAAGACGACTCCGGAATAAAATTTTGATGATGTCAATAGCTCCGTATGGTGATTATGGACTTAGGAGCGTGTCCGGAAAATTATTTGGAGGTCCGTTGAGGAATTTGGCTTGAAGTGGCGAAAAATAAATTTTTGGGAAGTTTGACCGGGGGGTTGACTTTTTGATATCGGGGCCGAAATCCGATTCTGGAAATTGGAATAGCTTCGTTATGTCAATTATGACTTGTTGCAAAATTTGAAGTCATTCCAGATTGATTTGATGTGTTTCGACACAAGATATAGAATTTGAAATTTCAAAGTTCATTAAGCTTGAATTGGGGTATGGTTCGTGGCTTTAATGTTGTTTGATGTGATTTGAGACCTCGAACAGGTTCGTGTTATGTATTGGGACTGGTTGGTATGATTAGACGGGGTCCCGGGGGCCCCGGATTTGATTCGGGGTGGTTTCGGACCAAGTTAGGGTATTTTGATGCTGTTGGTTGGTGGTTCTGGTGTTGTTCTTCGCGTTTGCGAGGAAGGATTTTGCTGTTAGGACTTTGTTCTTCGCGTTCGCGAAGAAGGAAATTTTGTTGTTCGTCGTCTGACTTTAGAGGCTCATATATTGCAATCTATAAGGAAATTGGAGATGATCCAAAAATAAAAGTTGTAGCCCTTTGTGTCTAGTTTTCAGAAAGATAAACCATTTGTCATTTGGAGTTGTGTACAAAATGTTATGATAGATATACTATAGGCTATCCGGGAAGAGTTTAGAAATCTCTGTTACACAGGGCTGACTTTGGAAGCTTATATCTCGTAATCTATAAGGTATTGGGAGATGAACAACAAATAAAAGTTATAGCTCTTGGAGTCTAGTTTTCAGAAAGTCAAATCATTCATCATTTGGAGTTTTGTATAAATAGTTATGACTATTATACTAAAGGCTGTCTGAGAAGAATTTGAAAATCACTTTTGAAGAATTTGTTCTTCGCGAACGCGAAGAACAAACCCCCGGGCAGCAGAATAAAGTCCAAATTCGTGTCATTCTTCCATTTTTGGACCAAGGAAGCTCGGGTGAGGCGATTGTTCGAGAGTTTTTCACGAAAAACATTGGGGTAAGAATTTCTAACTTGATTTTGGTTAAATTACATGAATCTATTGTTATTTTTATCACTAAATTAGTGAATTGGGTTGAAAAATTTAGAAAACCCTCTTGGTTCAAATTTAAGATTTAGAGGTCGATTTGTTATTGGAATTCGATAAAATTGGTATGGTTGAACTCGTATCAGAATGGGTGTTCGGATTTCATGAAAATTATGTCGGGTTCTGAGAGGCGGGTCTCGCGTTGACTTTTATTGACTTTTTGGAATAAAATTTTAAGTCGACGTATTATTATCCGGAATTATTTTCGATGAAACTTAATAAAGTTATACAATTAATTTGGATAGATTTGAGCTGTCCGGAGGTCAATTCAAGCAAGAAGGCTATTTTGGAATATCGGCCTAACTTCAAAAAAGTAAGTGTCTTGCTTAACCTCGAGTGGAGAAAATTTTTCTTAGGCATTGAGTCTTATGTGCAACTTGGGTAATTGAAAACCATGTACGCGAGGTGACGAGTACGTACTTGGTTTATATGTGCAAATTTTATTGAGTTAAAGTCTTGAGCATATTGTGTAGTAAATTGGATAATTGTTGGCATATATTTTATCATCTACTTGTCGTGCCTAAACTCTTGTTGTTGACTCTGTTGTTATATGACAATGTGATGTGATTGTTATTTGATTATTTATGAAATTTCGTGAATTTGCTGTCTTGATAATTATTGGAATTTAATTTCATTTTTAATTTTTTCCTCTGCAAATAATTAATTAAACGAGCTTAAGAAGAGGTGTTTATATAATTATTGAAAATTTGATCTTTTATGAAGACTTTGCTTTATGTTGAGTAATTTCTATCTCTATTGATTATTTTTGGGTGTTGTACACATTGTGTGGAGCATTTGGCTATTTGCTGTAAAATTAATTGACTTGTTTGTAGCTTTGAAATCTGGTTGTGGCCATTGGGCAAATTGTGATATGAATTGATTTTTGTTATGTTGTTGTGATAATTTTCCGTGTAAATTATTGTGCTGTGTGAGTTGTTATTTTGGGGAGATAAGGGTGGCATTTCACCGTTGATATTATGTGGTTATAAGAGTGGCATTTCACTATTGTGTTTGTTGGCTATTGATATTGTCAGGGCGGAGCGATAAGGGTGGCTATTGATATTGTCTGGGCGGAGCGATAAGGGTGGCTATTGATATTGTCTGGGCGGAGCGATAAGGGTGGCTATAGGAGCGATAAGTGTGGCAATATGAGCGATAAGGGTGGCTATTGTTAGGGACGATATGTGATGATGTGGGGTTGTGGTATTGAAAATTTTTATGTGATGTTGTGATTTTCTTGTGTTTATTTTTATACCTTGTGCAACTTGTCTTGTTGTTAGTAAATTGATAATAATCTGATTTTGTTGAAATTGGGAGCCTGTGGCTATTGCCAGGCGGTTTATAAAATAAAATGTGGGCACGAGGTGCCGTGAATTGTGATATGAAATGGGGATATTGACACATGAATTGTCCATGCAGTTGTGATATAAAATGTGGGCACGAGGTGCTGTGATGAAATGATAATGATATTTGGCACGTGAATTGTCCGTGCAGTTGTGATATGAAATGAGGGCACGAGGTGTCAGGCAAATGTGATGATTAAATTATGGGCACGAGGTGCCGTGAAAATATGAAAATGGGCTGAGACCCGTATTTTGATGATTTTGAAATGAGGTGTCACATGGTGACTTTTTAATTGAAAGAATTATATTCAAAATATTTATTTGAAAGGATTTTTACTTAGAAAGTATCATATAAAAGAATTGTATTTTGAAAGATATTTATTTGAGAAAATTGTATTTGAAAAGATTTATTGAAAGAATTATATTTGAAAAATAATTATTTGAGAGAATTATATTTGAAAGAGAGTTATTTGGAAGAAATATGTGAAAGACATTTATTTGAAGGGCTTAATTTAATTGGGTGTAATTGTGTTTATTAATTGTTGGGTGATATTAATGGTGTTCTTGTTGTCTGTTGTGCATATCACTGGTTGTTTTATCCTGCCTTTATTATTATTTATTTCCTATTATTTTGCACAGGTTATTAGACTAGTGAGTGTCTTGACTGTACCTCGTCTCTACTCCATTGAGGTTAATCTTGATACTTACTGGGCACCGCTGTGGTGTGCTCACTCTACACTTCTGCATATTTTTGTGCAGAGCCAGGTATTGATAATATCGGACTTGAGCAGAGTTAAAGCGCGATCATAAGGATTCAAGGTAGAGCTGCTTGGTCATCGCAGTCCCTTGGAGTCTTTTAATTTCATTGTACTGTTAATTTATAATCAAACAGTATTGTATATTCGGTCTCGGTGATCATTCCATGTATTCAGTTAGAGTTCGTGACTCAGTACTACCAGTCTTGGGAGGTTGTGTATTGTAATTATTTCCGCTATTAGATTTTAAAAAATAAAATGGCTTCAAAATGTAATAGAAATCGGCTTATCTAATCTTAGAGACTATGTGTAATCACGACGCATGTGGTGAAATTTTGGGTCGTGACACCATCTAATAATGAAATTGTCATTAATTATTATTTTATTGATACTTTCTCTCTATTTCAATTATGGTAACGTTTTATTCGGTGGTATAGCTATATTTTATTGATAAATGTGAATGCTTATATAATAGTGAATGCTTGGATGAATAAGTGATATTTATAATATTTAGATATTATACATATTATATTATTTGTATAATACATTAATATTTATGTAATAAGTATATTATGAAGTATAAATTAAATATTATTAGTATAAAATATTATTTTATTTGGATACACATAGTATATAATTCTTTTTTCTCAATATGATAAATGTACACGACGTATATTCGAAATATTAAATTTTATAATATAAAATATACTACATATTTATTGTATAGATGTTATATATTTAGAGCACACTGTAGTTGTTTAAATATTATATAGTATTACTATTATATATAAAGTATAAAAATGACTCATGAATGCTTCGCGTTTAAAGACTTTCATTTTATTTAGTGATTGAATTTTGTGAAAGGTAGAGAAAATAGTGAAAAGGAAGAGAAAATCATGGCATAAAGGATTCTTAAATTTATTATGACAAATTTATACTAAAAGAATAACATAAATCTTTAAATTTATTCTAGAAAGATGTGATGAATCTGTATCTGTTATACTCAAATGTAATAGAATATAAAATTATTAAATAAAAAATATGTGGTTATACAATGTACGTTTTATAAATATTTACTGAATTTAAGTTACATTACTTCATACATGCTTATAGATCTAAATGTCCAAATAATTAAAAAAAATTAAACTCCAAAAAAATTAAATTTTTCATATTTTCTTTACCATATAGATGAGAGAGAAATATTTAATAAGGAAGAAGGGAATAAAATAAATCCCTGATTTAGTGGGATCTATTTATTTTCTTAACCTGCTAAAATAGTAAAAAAAAATCTTTCATTGTTGAAATAAACCACAAGTGATGTTATTTATATTGAACAAAGGGATGTATTACACTTGGCGGTCATGATTCTCAATCTGACCTGCCCAAGTCATATGCTTCTTCAAATGTTGGTGATCCACCTTAGTGGGCTGGCCCATAGGCCCACTCATTATTTTATTTTTTCTGTATATTCAGTTTCTTATTGCAGAAAATGTATATAATCCTTCGTACAGTTCTACAACTTCTTCACTTTCTGAGTAGACTCTTCTCTCTCTCATTCGTTTTCATCGGAACGTAGGGTTTCCTGTTCAAGAATCAAGATCTCTCTCCAATATTTCACCTTCTACTTGCAGGTAAGTTTTCAGATGTAGAATTGGCATAAACTGATTTTTAAAGTTTCTACAAGTACCCTTATTCTAGCTTCTCAGGTTCAGAATTTTGGATATTATGAAATACAAGTTAAGTTGGCTCAGTAGAATTAAAAATTGGCCATTCACGTGATCGTTAGCCCTGAATTAGACTCCTGATGCTTGTGTAATCTATAACATTTTGTGTAATCATCGCATTATATATTGTAGTTCTATATATCCTAGCAATTCTAAGCTCCATATCTCATGAGCACTGAAGAAGCAAGGGTTAATTTAATACTCCATTATCACTCAATTTTGCATTAGAGTCACAATTTATTTATTTTTAACGAAAAAAATTATCACTCAGCTTTACTGAAGTATCACAAAAATCACTTACCTAATTGATGCAAATGGAGTCAAAAGTCACCCAACTTTGCCTAAGTATCACCGAAAGTCATTGGGAGGAAGCAAAAGAAACATTTTATATAATACTTAGGCAGAGTTGAATGACTTTTTGGTTACAAAATTACTTCTTAACTTTCTGTGATACTTGGGCAAAGTTTGATGATTTTTTTGTTAAGAAAAATACTTTAGCGACTTTCTATGATAGTTAGGCAAAATTGAGTGATCTCTTTTTTTTTTTTTTTTTTTTTTGATTACAAA